CATGCAAGTGCTGTTAACTTATTGACCCCTTCCCCCACTCCTCATACAATATAAGAAAAAGTTAAACCAACATCACCCCACCCCCTTCCCTCTTTGTCCTGTCATCGCCTGCCTTGAATTTGGAACAATGTCAATTCATTTGGACTGAGACATTTGTGCTGTGAAGTTGGCTGTATCTGGAGGAAAGGAGAACTGCTTTGAATTTGGCTTTCACCGCATATTTGGATGGGACATTTTCTGTTGCTGACCTGCCTGCATCGGACCGAAAGAAAGGTATGTGGATTTCTCGTCACATAAATTTTATCACAAATGTGGGTTTGTAACCTAGGAAAAAATATGTTTTCGTATTCAGTATGAAAAAAACAAAAACAGGATTAAGGATTCTTCTTATCTTTTTCTTTTTAGATTTAGCTTAAGTGATCCAACAAAAGTAAAATAAAGTTTAACAAAGTAAAACTGAATATTGCCTCAGGATCAGGTTTTCTCCAGGAGCCATCCCCCAGTTATTGTGCTTTTGGGGAAGGGACTTAACCTCCTTGCTTCAAGTAACATAATCAAAAGGTTTGCAATTCAGATATCATATTGAAAATTTAATTGACTTTCCAGCAGCTGACGGAAAAAAAAGGGCTAGTGTCAGCAGGTTTTTGCTAAGGGCTAGTCCGTAAACACTACATAGGCATAAGTAGGACACGGTATACCGCAGAACATTATTATGTAAATGAAAGGAGCTCTTGATGGAACACTATGCCTGTAACATCATAACCCTTGTTGTTGAAGATAAGGCCACACAAATTTGGTTTGTTGGCTCTCGGATTCACCTGCTTTATTTTTTTCTGATTTGCAAAGAAAAAAAAAAGATTCAGACTCAACTCCAAAATGCTCATATTTTGGCCCCAATATTTGAAGAACGCTCGTCTTCCTACATGTCCTAGTTGTTACAGTTTTCCCATATTTCAATGCATTGGGTTGACAGAAAGTTTAAAATCATGGCTTGAATTTTACCCCAGCCTGGTATGTTGACCTCATATATATAGCTCCTATTATAATAGCTCTTTGGGCTATCATAGGATGCCTAGGCCTGTATTTATTTTTTTGCCCCATCACATACTAGTATTCTTTTCTGAAAAAAAAATCTGAGAACCAACAAATCAAATTGATCTGGCCTAATCAAAAGTTAACCTGTAGCAGACATACAAAATTGACAAGCTAACAAGTAAAGATGAGTCCTGGTGGCCCTTGTTCTATTTTAGTCTACTAAACAACTAGATGCTAAGTTTCATTGCTTAGTATGTATATGTATATGTACATTATATATGTATGTGAGTCAAATTTGAGGCAAGGTCTCTCTTCAATCTCCTTGCACAAAGAACAATGTTGTGTTAGGATATTTTCTTCTCAGGTCGTTTCCATACATCGCCTGTTTGATACGTGTCATTTCAATAGATAGCAGGGTTCTCACCAAGATTTTTTTTTATCGGCATATGGGTTAGGTACAGAAGGGCAACTTTCTGCGGCACAAGTCCTCCATTCAGTCCCCAAAATATGACCACAGCAGGGGTCTGGTATTCTCCCCCCAAAATTTTGTAACTCATAACCCCCTGAGACACTGTTTCTTGCTTATTGGGGGACGGATGTTGTTTTCCCTTTGTTATAGCTTCATTCGGAAGTTATACTTTCATTTTTTTAAAGATTTATGAAGCTTCTGCCCCCCAAAAACACCCCTAGGGGGCTAAATCACAGCATAGTGGGTCTAAGTAGGAACAGCCTGGACGTGTGGTAAGAACTATGCATAATAAAGTAGTTTCGATTCATGGTGAAATCGTTTTGATACATCCGATTGGCTGAGTTTGCTACAGTAAGGACTGCGAGAAAATACTAGTAACACATGTCCCAAACTCATAAAAATTCATAGAATTCAAGGTCAGAAGAACTAAACAAGTGCTTTAAAAAAAGCTGGCATTCGGCACACTATCACTGTTACATGTTGTATATCTTACATATGCCACCCTGCATCTGCTTGGAGATATCTTTATAGAACAATGGAATGTGAGACCGACCACAAAGCATTTTAGTGCATGCAAAAATGCTGATTCCTAAATATTCAATTTGTTGGAGCACTGATGCTTTACTTTAAGTAAAAATCAGTGAATTTTCATTAATTTGCTGAGCTAGTGCTAGGAAAAATACCATCCTAGATTTAACAATTTTGAATTTGGGGAGGAATTGTGATTTTTGGTACATGTAGTAGCACACCGATCATTGGATAGGGCCGAGGGAATGCCCACAACCCAAAGTTACCCAGCCACTTAACCCTTAAGCTGCCGGTCCCGGGTATATCCGGGTTCACTATACATCCCCTGTGTGCCATGCCCGGGTATATTCGGGATAGGGTATTCCCCGGGATAACTTAGCACAGCTGCATGTTTCGTGCCCGCCGACCAGGAAGTGACTGGCGGCGGTAAGTGAGGGCAGGTCAGAGGTCAAATTGGGTTGCGTAATCACCTATTACGTCATCCCACAATGCTTTGCGGCCTATAATTGCCAAGATGGCGGCGGCGTCGTCTGCCGAGGCTTTGTTCTTTTGTTTACGTGTTTTGGGCGGTGAATTTGGACTGTTAACACCAAAATGACGACGTTTACCCTCGAAGAACTGTTGTAGGAGGTCGCTACTGTTGATTTAGCCTATGGTTGACGTATATCTGACGCTGATTCCATTGAGAGTAGTGAAAATGAGACGGATCGTGTTAGCAGACGGGAGGAAATGTGGTCACATGGAACCAGATAGCATTGGTGAATGTGACATCGGCCATGGAACTACTAATGGCCGTGGTCGTGCTAGGGGTAGAGGTCGGGGCCGAGGTCGGGGGTGTGGAAAAGGCCAAACAACAAGGGAACGTGGCACTGACAGGCGAGGTTGCAGCCAGCCAGCTGATGGGGATTTAAATCCCGGAGCCGCCCATCAAAAGCTCAAGCTGCAACTGATCCAAGATTTGATGGCACAAACTGGCAGAGGGGGGATGGAAACAGCCTGACCAAGTCTCCCCATGTTTTCACTGCACAAAGTGGATTTAGTGGCAAGTTTTATTTCTATTTTATAGCAGCTTTTATGTAAAATTTTCCATGGTATAAAGTATAATATTATCTTTTTATTGCTTTTTACCTGTTTATTGCCTTTGTAGTTTATATTGTCAAGTTGAAATATATTCCTAGACATAGTATATACAATAAGCTTTCATATGATATGTAACAAGTATATATACCATCGATTACATAGGTAAAGGAAGGGATGTATTATGTTGTATACATTAGTTGGTTCAGCACCAAGGACAATATCCATCATAAACTTACCTGTAATGATACCTGAGTGCTGTATTTTTACTTGTATGTAGTTCTAATAGTGTCAGGACATGTCAGGATCTGTTAAGTCAAGGCCCAAGTCATTCTGTGGTTGCTTATTGTTGATTGTATGGAAACAAGGTGGAAATTGTACATTTTATTGCTCTTTACCTGTTTATGACCCTTATAGTCTATGTTATCAAGTTGATATACATTTCTAGTTGTAGTATCTACTATATGCTTTCATATGATATGTAACAAGTCTATGTACCATCTTTTATAAGGGTACAGAAAGAAGTGAAATATGTTGTAATGGATCAGTGTTTTAGCTGAATAGTCAGTTCAGCACCTATAACAATATCTGATCATAAACTTACCTGTAGTGACACCTGAGTGCTGTATTTTACTTGTATGTAGTTCTAATAGTGTCAGGACATGTCAGGATCTGTTAAGTCAAGGCCCAAGTCATTCTGTGGTTGCTTATTGTTGATTGTATGGAAACAAGGTGGAAATTGTGCATTTTATTGCCTCTTTACCTGTTTATGACCCCTGTAGTCTATGTTATCAAGTTGATATACATTCCCGACTCTACTATAAGCTTCCATATAGTATGTAACAACTCTATGTACCATCTTTTATAAATGTACAGAAAGAAGTGTAATATGTTGTAATGGATCAGTGTTTTAGCTGAATAGTCAGTTCAGCACCTATAACAATATCTGATCATAAACTTACCTGTAGTGACACCTGAGTGCTGTATTTTACGTGTATGTGATTCTCATAGTGTCAGGACATGTCAGGAATGTTATAGGTTTCATACTTATACTTTTTATATAGTTTAGGCATTGTAATACAAAAAAAACTATGAAAACAGCTATTTTATTGCATTATTGCCCTTGTAATTCATTGCTATTGATGTCAGGCTACATTTGAAATATTTTTCTGTAAAGTACACATTCTTAGCTTTCCAATGATATCTGGCATGATATGGTAAGTTGAGGGGAAAATGACAAAAAGACAGTAATACAAAGGTAGTACCCCCTATTTCAAAAGGGTCTGGAAACCCTGGCACAGAGGGGATGTATTGGTGAGAAACACTGGCAGCTAAAGGGTTAAGTTAACATCAAAACATCTATGGGCAAAAATCAGAACCGGCAAAAAGCAGTCCTTATACTTGTTAGGAGGAAGGTAGTTTGTGTCAAAACAGAAATCGTGGGACAGACAAAACCTGAAACTGAACGTCATAACGAAGCATGAATGGAACATTAATCATAACAAAATGTATCCAGCATAGCCTCTAATTTCCCCACTAATAAAGATGAACCTGAAAAGGGTATTAAAAGTATATCGTCGTGTTTTGACATGCAACCGAAGTAAGGTAAACCTAGTGTAGCGAAATAACTTCCTGTGTGTATTGAAATGACTGTATTATAAAAGCAATGTATCGAAATGACCGGATACCAGGCATTCCATCATTGTACAAAATCAAGACTCCCACCTCATAAGAGAATGTTTTTCATGGAGAGGGATGACTCACAAACTGGCCCTTTCACTGCATTAGCTGTTTGCTTCAGGAAGTTTCATTACATTTCAAAGTTCCTTTTGCTCCTTATGCAATTTACACTATTTTCTTCAATGAATCACCCAGAGCAAATTGTGTCAAACATTTTTATTACCAGAATTACACTCATAATTATCTATTATCTGTGCTGAAAACAATTTTCTCATTACTGCCAGTATATTGCACATGCCAACAAGTTGTATGCAAACTGTTCCTTTGCCATATCAGGACTCAATAGCCTCATAGTAGCTTCATGTCTATCTACTTCCACAGTAACAAAAGGAAACAAACCATGAGGCCATGGCACTTCTAGTGACATGTGGCTTTGGACGGGTTGCGGTACGACAGAGCAAACTGCTCCTGACTTCTAACAAAGAACAGTTCAGTCAGAAGTTCAGATCAATAAGCCCTGCTGACAGATATAAAGCATATCAAGAAGCCTTTGAGGGGGACATATTGTATCATTTGACTTTTGATGAATTCTGCAGAAGTGCGACACACATTGACAAAGTCTTCAATGCCTGGAATAGCCCAGAAAACAAAGCCAAGTTCCTTGACCACTTCGGACATGATAAGTGGAAAAGACTAAGTTCACATGGAAAGGGGAAACACACTCTGCATGGTCCATGTAAAGGGTGCTTTACTGAGCACAAGGCTTTCTGGGATCTCTTCAACAAGTGTGTAAAATGCCCAAGGACAAGGAAGATCTTGGGAAGTCCAGAACTCGAGTTGGATTCACCCAGCCTCACTGTTCAAAGAGAAGGAGCAAGACAACTGATAGGGCAGGTGGACAAAATCTGCAGGAAGCAGTACAAGCGCCCTCTCACAGAAATTCTTCCAGACATGAACAGTTTGACAAGAGAACAGAAAAGGTCAAAGCGGAGAAAAATCATGTTTGAAGCAAGGGAACAAATTCAGAAGGCTGCCATGAAGAGGAATAGAGACCTGGATGTCACATTTGGCAGTGGAGAGTCGCTGAACTCCCGGAAACATCGAAGACTCACAGAGGAGTTTGAGAGCAGACAAGAGGCAGAAGAGAGGACGAAGAGAAGAAAAGACAAAGAGGCAAAGGGAATACTGAAACCCAAGGACAGACTGGGAAACTTTGGTGTCTTTGGGGACTTTGATCGGGAAGGCCTGAAGCAAGAAGTCCTAGCATATGAGGATGGGACAGAAGTCACCTGGAAGCACCTAGCCATCAAATATGGCGTCAAAGACAAAGACGGAAAACTGCCAGGAAATGCTGGGCAGTTAGTAAAGCTGTGGTTGCAGAGTGAAGGCGTAGACACCAAGAGGTTTGAGGCAAGGACGGAGCAGGAGAGGGTCCGGAAAGCGAGGGTGCGGGTGGGAAGTGATCCAAAGATAACCGCGCCCAAGAAACGCACAGAGTCTCAGCTAAGGGAGGAGTTGAAAGTACTCATCACAGAGGGACAGGTCCCAATAGGAGAATTCATTGTGCCAAAACAGTATAAGACATATTTCCTTGACAAAGCAACAAACAAGATAAAAACGAAGGCCACCTTCATTGAAGGAAGAAAGCGTCCGCTGCAAGAGATCCGACAGCATCTCCTGAAGAAACAACAGCCTTTCTTGCGGGAAGCAAGTAACTATGACAGCATGACCTTTGAAGAAATGGTGAAGAGGCTGGAAGACCTGGGAGAAGACACTGATGGGGAAACAGAGGAAGAGTTGAGGGAGCATTTGGAGGCGGTTGAGAGCACAAGATCCAACTTTTACTGGGAAGACGGCTCCAGTCTGGCAAATCACGGTTGCATACTATACCTGGTAGGGACACTATACGATCCTGCAGTGTTCTTAACAAACAAAGAGTACTTTGAGAAATACAAAGTACATGTATCAGTCCAAGCTGAGGTGGAGAAGCCAGAACTCTACATCATAGCCCGAAGTGGTGGATCAGATGAGGAGCAGTTACTGTACGCTGAGACAAGACGCGATGATTTGCCTTGTCTGTCTCTTCCAGTCCAGACGGAAGATGGACGCAGCATCAGAGATAGACTACGTCTCGTCAAGGGAGATCAACTATCCCGCTCATTCGAGTTTGGGCAGCAGCGTGTGGGCCACTATTCATGCACCTGTATGGTGGATATGCGGATGATTCCAGATTTCTGGCAGTGCTGTCACTTGGAAAATGTCACTACCAATATCAAGGACAGACAGGAGTTCATCATGGAGGGGCCAGTGACATCCAAGAAAGCACCACTTTCCATTCCTGACCCCTTCCACACAATGACGAAGGAGGAGATGAAGGATGAGTTAACGTACAGAGGCACAGTCTCCTATACAGAAGCTGAGAAAATGACAAAAAAGGAGCTCAGCGACAATCTAAAGCACATGCTTCATGGGACCAAAAGAGTCCCCACACTACTGTACAAGAATCCCACACAAAATGTTGAAGACCTTAACCTACAGTACCTAGAAGAAACTGGAAGTGAACCTATGCACGATCTATGCAACCACACCAAAAATGTTCTAGAAGAACTGCAGTCCAGAGAAACAAATCATGTATCTGAGATCATCAAAAGTGTGAAAGAAGCCCTCCTCAATAGCAAAGATGTAGTAAGAGCATCAGATGTGCGGCTTGCCCTGCTGGTACTTCTCCATGAACTCAAGGCTGATGGCAAAGCAAGTCTTCAATCCATCCAGCTCATCCAAACACTAGCAGACATGCAGCAGCTCTGCTACGCCGATGCAGAAGACCGCTCCATTACAACCGTGTTCAGAATGGCCAACATCATGTTTGCACACCATCTGATGATGAAGGAGTGCTTCCCAGGGAAGCCACTCACAATGACATCCAGAAAGCTTTGGGGACACTACATTCATTCCCTAAGGGACCACATTCCAATCAACTTCAGAGTGGTGCCCATTAGCTCCACCATGGCTGAAAATGAAGAGAGGCAGTTCAGCACGCTGAAACGAATCACAAAATCCTCAGCAAGCTACTCAAAACCAGGGCACATTATCTCCAACCTCTTTGTCAGGACACACTACCAGCAGAAGACAGCAACAACCACCAACAAGCAACAACAAAACAAGATTTCGCAAGCAGCAAGGGCCATTTCGAAGGACAGAACGACAATCCCTACCAACTTGCTAAAAAAGTACCCCAGGGCTGCTCAAACACACTGCGAAAGAATTGCAGACTTTCTGCTCCCAGGCTATGGGGTGCACTGGCACATCGAGGATGACCAGCTAATCTTCCATGATGGCCCTGAAGACAAACCAAATCCACTACATGGCCCAAAGCTGCAACACTTCCGTTCCTCAACAATCCAGCATCAACACAAGTATCTACAAGGGAAATGGAAGCAGTGCCTTGAACAGCGGGTCCCAGTTCCACTCAGCACACTCTGGATGTACGAAGGGCAAAGGCTTGTGAAGAAAGCAAAGATGCCATTCCTAGAAGCCGAGTATAGCTTTAGCCCCCAGTCGTATCTCGACATGCCATCATCTCCAGATGATACTGCCAACGAAGTAGAGGATGAAAGCAAAGACGAGGATGGGGAGGACGGCGACAAGGTGGAGGAGGAAGAGGAGGAGGAGGAACAGGAGGAGGAGGAAGAAGTCATCATCAGAGTGGACAGTATAGATGAGATGCCAGACCTGGAGGAGGAAAGCAGTGCTGGTGCAAGCAACATGTGAGTTAGCTTAACCATAATGACTGTATTTAGACAATTGCTCACTTGTCTATCTTTGAAGCAGTAACAGAAACAGAAACCATAGTACAATCTTTCAACTTATACTGAGAATATCATTGATATAGAATACTATGGTAATATGGTTGTATGATATTTGTATATAATATTTGTATATGTATGTTTTAATCTGGCCCATGGTGCAGTACTTTTGCCGACAATACAAGTCATACATTGTATGTGCATATATGTTCTTACAGGGGATCCTGTGCTCTACCAACAAAGCCATCCCCAAGCGTCAACATGCCAGAGCCCCAGACTCCAGGCAGAACTCGTTCAGACCAGTCACCATGTCATACCAGTACCATGACTAGGTAAAAGATAAATTTTTCTTATTCCAAGTTAAAGTGAACAAATTTATCATATTGTTGAACCATTACAGTACTATCTTCTTTGAAAGGCTCAGCACCTTAAGGAGTCAAGATGTTATGCACATTTTGTAATAAACTGTATAACAAGTCTATCTGTGTAACACAAACTTCACTCTCCAGGGCCCAGGGAAAGTTAGGATAATGCAATCAAACTAAATTTGCATTCATTACTATGGTCAATTTTTGCAATTGCTTGCTCTCTATTGCCATAGGAGCATCATCATGTCCACGCCTGCAAGGACCAGCAGAACTTATGAGGCAGTGAGAAGTGTCGCCATGACTCCACCAACTACTCCAAGTGTCACTGTGGAAAGCAGAAATGGGTAGGTTTTATGTCAATGACAGTGTAATTTGGACAGTACCAAGTAGTTGTTTATCATCATAAAATACCTCAATGCTAGTTTACCAGAAGTTACCTATCTGTGCAAAAAGACACAAGTGGCATACATTGGTCTAGGGCATATCTACAAGGAGTAATGTGAATTGATTTTACATTTCCTTGTCTATTATACAGACTTACGAGTACAGAAATTGTACAAATAGAAAGACAGAAATATTTTTGTGCGAGAGACATGCAAATACATTGTGTAACTTACTTTAGTGATGATCCTACTGACTTTTTCATTTTGTCTTGTAGAAATGAGCCCAGCAGCAACACAACACCAAGCAGCACCAGCTTGTTGACACCACCAGCAACTGTGAGCAAAATCAGGTATGTTTTTTTAAATACTTTCGACAATTGATTATGGCAACAATAGAAATTGTGCAAGTCTGTTTGCAAAATACATGACAAGATAACAAAAAAGAACAACAATATACTACATACGAAGTAGCAGTTTTTCTTTTTTTCGTTATTACTGTTGCTTTATTAGGTGGTTGTTGTTGTGCATAACCGTTGCGAGTATCTCTGTTGGGATTGCCATGCACCTACTACGATACCTTGTCAAATGAATAATATGTAGTAAATGAAAGATATTATTATGAAAGATTACTATGTTCATCTCTTTAGATTGTTGTGTTGTTGATCTTATGTAGCCTGTGTTTACACTAGTCAGTCTGAAACTGTTTTCACCAGTTGTTAAGTGATCACACACTGTTTACATACACTATTACACACACAGACTGTTCTCAATCTGCAAAATATAAAACTTCATGGAGAATTGTCGCCTATGGACACTTGTTTTTGTTTTCAGGGAGGATCCAAATGTCAAGTGGAAGACAAAGCTGGGGAGTGCCCTCGCTGTGGTGCTGGGCGATGTCCCCATAGTCAACCGCGTTGACAGGATGAAGGCCAAACTGAAGATGTCACCGCGGAATACATTCGCCCGAGTTCAGTACAACAAGAGTGTAGCTGAAGTGTCAGGTGTACTGAGTAAACAGTTACGTGAAGACAGAAAAAGTTTTGAGGATTGGGAGAAAAGCTTCATGGTTACAGAGGGCAGGTTCCCAACAATGTCAGACATCAAGCTAAGTGAGGTTGCCTCTGCAGAAGAAAAACGTATTAAGTATGCAGAGCACCTGTTGAGAACTTTTGGTGTTAACTTGTATGTATAAGGTAACTTGGTCCACAATATAATAGTACCATTCCTGATGGAATTTGTCAAACCCCTTATATCTCGAACACCTTGACTTTCAAAGTTCAAAGTGCGATAAATCTAAAAAAAGATCTAGAGCAGGTGTCTGCTTGATAGAAGCCTCCTTGTTTTACAAGTGAGACTGAATTTGTGACATCAGATGCACTTTCAAGTGAATAAAAGTTTTTTTTCTCAAATCATTTTTCTCATACTAAGCATGCATGCAGAATTGTATATGATGGATGTAGTGGTGGTATGAAATAAATATATGCGTTTAGTAATGGCATGATTTTTTTCTGCAAAATTTTTTGAAAGGGAAGGATGTTTGTGAGAAGGGTAGTTTGATAGTCAGATGGCATTTAGTTTAACACTCCGTATCCTATATTGCACTTTTTTTCAACGGAGTAGTTCAAAGCAAGGCCTATGCGACCATACCACTTCTTGGCACTGAACTAGAAAGAAGAGAGAAATATGGCTATGTGAAGAGATGGCGGTGAACGTTTGATTTGAAAGCTTGTAAATTGTAGGTTGGTGGGAAACACTTGTCAGGGAGGGAATTCCAAAGCTTGATCGTACGGGGAAAGAAACTGTCGATGTAAAATGATTTCGAACAAGGAATTTGGACGGTGAAGTTGTGTGAGCTAGTGGAAAACCTAGTGGAACACTAATAAAAGTTCTGAGTGGTGGAACTAGTTGGGTGAGTTCTGCAGAGCAATGACCATGAAAATACTGTAAAAGAGAGATAGAGAGGCAACATTTCGTCTATGGAAAAGGGGGTCTAACTTGGAGGCCAGAGGATAGGCCACGCAAATTCTCTTTTGTATGCGATCGAGAAGGTGCAGGCAATCGATTGGGGCACCAGCTCAGAGGTGAAAACAGTACTCCATACATTGGATGACTACTTTTTTTTTAATGTTTGATAGGTTTGAAAACTACAATTTCTTGTTTGTATTATCTCTTTTGAATTAAGCCGAACCAGTTTGGAAAGTGATTGTTCTTTTCTACTGAAAACAGGTCTGAACAAAATTTGTGAATCTGGCAGTGTACATGGTGGGGTACCCTAAGGTCATGTCAAATTAAAGAGTTTGTAACTGGACAGCTGCAGCTATTGAGAAATATATACGGTACAGGATTTACAGGATTTAAATGGGTTTGCTGCATTGTAAGGCTTAAAGGATTGGCTAGTAGAATACTAGTACACCATGTAGTAAGTGGATATAAATTATTTGGGGGGCTTGCATCCCTTCCCTTTTGATTTGTTTGAAATCTTCTGCCTAAATTGTCTTAATATTATATGTTGTAACATTCTTATCTTATAAGTTTAAATATATCACAATGAGATGGATCATTATGTGACAAATACATGCCATGCCAAGACATCTGATACACGTAAATTAAAAGCAATACAGAGATGTAATAAATCCATTACAATAAAATGGAAAATTGTCACTAGTATGTGACAAATAGATGAAATGTCAGGACTCATTTTGATACATGGAACAGTGATTGTTGTGATACATGTTCATATTACTGTTAATCATTTATACTGTAGTATCAAATAAATGTCATTGCACCAATTACACACTTGGTGACAGTCCTTTTGAATTGAAATCAATTTGGTGCAGGCTGATTGATACATGATACTTATTACTAAGGACTATATATAATGTCCTTGGTATCAGGTATTCATCTTACTTATGCTAGTGCAAGGAAATCAAGTGTGGAATGTTTTACATGGGGAGGGGGGTAAAACACATTACAAAATGATTCCATACAACGCTACAAACTGCCCAAAACTTAACTGTAACTAATCTACCTGCCCCACATGAAAAAAAAAAACTGTTAACAACCTCACCTTCTTTGTGGTAATCAGGCGGGAATTCACAGCGTCCCTCTTTACTCTGAATTTCCTTCCACTCGATGCCTGTGCCCATGAGCACAATTGAGCACAATTGGTCCGCCATCTTGAAAATGGAGTGTTGCATTGCACTCCGGGGGGGGCACCAATTAACTCCCCAGGATGGAATTAGCGCGCAAATCAAATTCAAAACGGCAGGCGGGGAAGAGGGTGGAGAACAGCAGGCAATTACCGCTTGAACTATTGCATATTTATAAGAATCCAGGCTGCAGTTGGCTCATTACAATATTACAGTAGCTTATTATCATATTTAAATGAGATCTTGGCTGGGGTGACCGTGGGACGCCTTACACCAACTGAGAACTATGGGCATCACTCAAGTATGTGAAAGTATCTACAGGAAGTAACTCTATGTCGCTTACATGGAGACTTCTGTCATTACAGAAATTGTACAAAAGGGGAGAGAACGTTCCCTCTGGACGAGTGTTGAAATCTCCCACAATACATACATTAGCAACACCTAGCTCATCAATAAGGGCTTCGATCTTACCTAGTTTCTCAAGAAAGATCTCGGTATGGTTGGGCGACTCAGTCGGCATATATACACATACAATCAGTAGTTCTTTACCATCGGCGTTTAGTCTTACTGCTAACAGACGATCGTCAGTCAGATTTTCGACATTAACAGTCAAACCGAGTGTCTTCCGCCAGAGAACGGCTACACCGCCGTACGGTCGGCCTTGAATCATACCTTCACTCAGGTCTATGGGGGAAGTACCGTAGGCATGAAAGTTGTCGTTAATCCTAGACAAATAAGGTATATCATCAGGCAAGAGCCAGTGCTCTTGAAGTAATACAATGTCGGATATATCACATAAGTCCTTCACAGACTGTACGGAGTTTTTAACAGACCGGCAGTTGTACGATACAAGTCTCAAAGAACTTAACTGTCCTGTAACAGCTGCCATCAGATCTCTGGAAGAGTCTTCCTCGGGAAAAACTTCCTCACTAGAACTCCACAAGGCCAGAAGTCCGGTAGCAAGATCTTGTCGGCGACGTCCTTGTCGACCGCTATTCTGAAGGACGCGTACGTGTCGTACCGGGTCTTCAGTTTCTCGCAGCTCACCATCGCTGTCTCCTTCTCGTTCAGGAACTGTGACAGGGATTCCTCAGACGTTTCAGAGCAGAGCCTGGACACAAAAATCTCCACAGGTCTCGGTTTCGCTGCACGCAGGTGATCGTTGCTGGAAGCCCTACCGACGATGGCTTTGCCACGTCGTCGTTTGGTGACCGTTCTGAAACCCTCGTTCTCGTCGGGGGTACTGTGACGACGACGACTGAGAGCTGGCGGTGGGGCGACCGTCGGAGCTCCCGTTTGAAGGTGCACTTGAGTACGTGAAGGGGGGCGATCACCTTTTCCCTGCACCACAGCAGAGGCACGTTTACCCTGCGCCACAGCAGAGGCGTAAGACTCGGGTCCCTGCTTCACACTACTGTCGCCCGAGTGGCAGCGGGTGTTATCGCGTAGCTGTTGTACCTCAGTTTTGAGGGCGACAAGCTCAGATTGGAGTTTTGCGATATTGCGTGCAGACTCCGATGTAGCTTTGGCCAGGTCCGCCTCAAGCCTGGAAGAAATCTGGTGAGAGTCACGTATAACTGCCATCTCTTGCCGGAGAAGCTTCAGCTCTTGAACACACATAGATACGTCTATGTTGTTGAGGTCGACCGCAGGTAAACGCAGTGATACGGAGGCGAATGTCGGCACCTGGTCTGGATTCGTGGTGTGCAAGATTTTCAAGATGTCCGCCATATTAGACGTCGCTTTGCTAGCTCCTTGGCGTTTCCGATATCTTTCGGACGGGTTACACAACTCATAGAGGAGCTTTTTACTGTTCTCGATTTCGTCATCTGTGTACGTCTCACAACACAGTTTGACAAGAATGTCGCCAGGCATGGCGTCCATCTTGTTAGAAACGTAACACAGTAAATCGTTAATAACCACGCCGGATATTGTCCCGGCGGCTGCGTTATGCTCTCCTTGATGCCGGGAGCCACGGTTAGTTGAGCATCGGGAACATAACACAACATCTCCTTGGCTGAGACGTGCATCACTCGCCTTACATACCTCGCAGTTCGGCATCTCGGAATAGAGAGGGAGGGGGGCGACACTCACAGCCTCTTCAGATCCCGCGTCTTGAAAGCCCAACGGCGGTTTTCATGAAACAGTTTGGTCTCCCGGGTGTACAGGCAGAAGAAGCAAGTGGTTTGTAACCTGATTACGACTTCAAATTACTTGAAAGTGATGTGTAAACAAAGTCCAACAGGACAAGGGCTAAGGGAGGCGGCCATTATACCCTGCACAAATTTTACTAGACTAAGTTCAAATTAAACTCATTACAACGTCATTATCGGTAGGGTTATAACGTCAATTACGCCCCTTTAGATAGCTTAGTCGTGGCGGGGTTCGAGATTATGTGAATTATCACTCGGACGGATGTTTTATGGGAGTCAATTCACTATTCAAGCTGATGGAAAAGCCACAGTGGGAAGTAATTGTTTATGGTACGACCCAGTGTCCTCATTCCTGTAGTTAACGTCCTATCCGATAGACTTCCCTATTAGGCACTAGCTAGGTAGAAGCTAGGTACGCATTTACACCTGAGTGAAGTAAGAAAAGTCGTGTAAAGTGCCTTTTCCCAAGGTCACAAGATTTGTGACAGGGCAGGGTAACAGGGCAGGGTTCGAACTAGCGACCTATTGGGACTAAGCCGAACACGCTACCGTTTGCGCTACGTTCTCTTAAAAAATACGCCATACTACTTACTCGGTTGTTCTAACAAACTTACTACACCCAAAAATATATTTGTATGTTTAAAATTTCCGATTTCTTCTTTTATCTAGATCTAGACTCCAACAAAGACTTGTTGGAAAATATAAAAAGAAAAGGGAAAATAATATTCAACGTGTATTAATTTAAATTGGATTATTCTAAGAAGTTCTACGTACTTTCTTTTCATAGTGAAAGACGGTGTCCAAATTGAGCTGCCCAGAACGTTGTGCGTCTTGATGCCACCATAGTACTTTGGGTCCCATTTTAGCTGATTGTCCCACCATTTCTAAAG